CAAATAGAAAATATTGAACACTCCCAGTGTTCGAAAACGAATTATTTAACTAAATTTAAGTAACTTTTAATTAATTAATAATAATAATAATTTAATTATTTATTGTAATGTTGAGGCCGCAAACAAAATAGTCAATGACTTTTGGGAGTCTAATTTGAAAATAGTACCAAGCCCGACATATCACGTGTGGACACGAAGTTTCCTATTAGACTACCGACTCGTCGTTACCCACTACAAAAGTATATAAGAATAATTCAACACATTTATAATAAATTTATATGCGAGTATGATAAGTTTTAATAAACATATTTATGCAAATATTTTTACAGTAATGATTATTTATTAATTTAATGTAATTTTTCAGAAGAATTAACTAATAAAATTATAAAACATAAAACTATTTGAGTACTTAAATTATATCAAATATAAACGAAGAAAAAACCATCTGAAAAAGCTCTACTTTTCGCAAACTTCGACGCCTCTTTGACTCTACATATGTTGATGCGGATCCAGCTATAGATATCCATGTTTCAAATTTCAAATATGCGTAGAAAATATGTAGGCATTCGAATCGACCAAAGGATACAGAAAAATATATATTCAATACCGATTAAACATTTTTAGGAAGGGACTGTAAAGCAATAAAAACTATTGTCGTATAAAATATAAGTCATCAAATAAGTATATCGTCGACTGTACCTTAACTCTGTTCTTAACATCATAGAATTTTGGCTATTACTTTTTTTATATTAATGTATAACATTCCACCATTGCATTGCCCTATAGTAGCTCTTTAGCCTGATTACCTGATCTTTAGCCTGAAGTGTCCTGTCATTCGCATCTTTTTGGGGTTACTAACCACTTGCCTTTATAAGTATGTATATCTACAAAGGATATTCGAGTCCACTCCACAAAGCTTCCCAATACTCTCAAAGTAGCTATGCCAGTCTGTCTGGACTGTCGGATTCATTTTGTTGTAATAAGTAAGTCTAAAATACAGCTTTGATCTATTGAATGAGCTTCGTACTTTCTAGCTCTTATTAGCTGGCTCCTCATTCCACCAAGGAACCTGACTCTTTATTACAACTTCTAGCGACCAAACTGTTCTCAAAGCAGTTAAATAGTACCTTATCTGGAAAATTAACAACCATCTTAATATCTCATATATTAGTAGTTGCCGATCAAGAGTCTCTATGTGGTCTCTATACTTATGCCTTTTTGTTTTTCTAATACGATATACCCGCGAATATCAAACTCTAATGAAGTTCGCCAATTTCATATATATTCACCATTCCAATGTTAGACAAAGTGAGCTTTTCAAAACCTCCTTTCTTATTGCATTAATAAAAATGACTTTGACTTACCGGTTATCCGTTGAGGACAGTTTAAGCATGAATTCTCAGACGGAAATCTCGGGAAGACTGGCAACGTGTGTCTATATTATCTTAATCAGAAACAATCATCATTGGGAAAGTATAAATGTGAGGTTCTACCAGAGCCTAAAATGACTAAATAGTTGTGACATTTTAAACTACCTTTGGATTGTATTGCAGATCTAGAGTTGAAAGAGATTTTAATAAAACCTTAACTAATAGAAGGTTAAGTGTTAAAATCTAGCTGCAAGTAGTGTGAAGTGAAGTAGAAATATCGTAATATTCCTAGAATATCGCAAAGCTTTTACTATCTTTATTTGCATTAAAAAACAATCATTTTCACGGCCCATCACTGGCTCGGTGGTTGATGAATGCTGCTTTAACAAAGCACTGACAAATTCAGCTTTAAAGAACGTATTATCAATGACTTTAATAATCTTTGCCCGTAAAACGGTCTTTGTTGGACAATTACTATTTTGCAATCTGAATAAATTTTATAGCATATCATAGGGCGTTCGAATTTCAGTCGAAAAGTATAGTACAAGATTAAAATTCATATTTAGATTTTCATATATTGATTATATTTATTTTGTTTATAATTTATAATTTAAAATTCAAAATACATACATATTGTTTTTAATTAATGATTTAAATACTAATACAATAATAATAATACTTTTAATTTTATTTAACAAGTAAACACATCTAAACTTTAAGAGTAAAAAATAAATTTTTAAGATGTGAACGTCGTTTGAGTTGATGAAAACCGAATGAATTTATTTGGCAACGATGAAGTGAGTTAAGATTCTATTCTGGAAGCATTTAAAATATATGTATATATAGTATATAACATTCTTATAATCTTATTAAATCAGCAAAACATATATAGTATTTATGATGGTTGTATGTGTGTATGATTGTTCAGTTCGAGTTCGAAATAAGGAATTCTAAGCAATGTGTAAAAACCTTCATGCATGTAATATCAGAAAGATTTACCATTTATTTACCTATAGCAAAATTAATCTAATTATAATATAATATATTATTAATTATAATGTTGATCAAAAATCTTCATTATATATTTTTAATTTTAGAAATACTTAATTTTGGCAACATATGTATGTGCAAAAAGATTTTTAACTTTTTAATGGACGACATAATTTTGTATTTTTCATTATTAATTCTAATACTTGAGATAATGTTTAATATAAAAAGTTTTGTACACTTCTTATAATCTGAATAATAATAATAATGATAATAATGATAATAATGATAATAATAATGCATTAATGTTATAATAATCAACGAATAATTTTTTCATATCCTTATATACAATTAAAAACACTGTCTTACAATAAAACAAATAGGTTAATAATTGCACATCTTCTAAATAAATCTCTTTCTGTAATTATATCATATTTTAGATATTATTTAGTTATGTATATAATTGCTTAAATTTATTATATGTGTATGTGGTAATTTTTTTTTTCGCAATGTGATAAGACAATGAAAAATATATTTCACGTACGTTAATGTTAATGTTAATGTTAATATATTTAAAAAGTCTTTTCAAGTTTATTTTTTTAATAAGGAATTGGAAATGTTATTTTTACAACTATTAAATGAAAAATATTTTTAATCAATTTAATAAATTTTATTCATTTGTGTTATGTTTCTTATCTTATCATATTATCATATGTGATTTATTTTGTAAAAATTTATTGAATTATTCGCTATACACTATACAACAAATATTCGTTAAAAACAATAAAAATTTCACTAATTATTGAACTTTAAAATTGTAAAAGAAATATTATAAGGCCATTAACAGTATTCTTTATTTTTATTTCACATTATAAATCATTAACATTTAAAATCAGATTCATAAATCTATATAAAATATTTTTTAAAATGTTATAGCCAATTACTATTTGATTTAACTTCAGTCTTAGCCATGTCTTTGCCAAAGCAGCAAACTTTACTATTTACTTTTCTTTTGAAGATATGCTTGCGTCTAATATGTTAAAATTCCTTTAAAAAACAAAATTAACACAAAATATAATTAAATAAAAGAAAAAATTAGATCCGAAATAAAATTAAAACTCAATACTTTTCAAGATTATTAATCATTTATTAATAAAAGTAATATGTTCATGTATAGTTAAAAAAAAAAATAAATTAAATACATATGTAAAATTAAATAAACCTAAAAGTAATTAAAATAATTTTCTGTACAAATCGTTCATTTATTAATCTTATTTAAATCGTTTTCTTATAATGTATATCTTCTACTTTATACTCTCTGTGGTTGATATTATTTTAATTTTAATTTTAATTTTAACTTTAATTTTTGTTTTATTTAATATTACTTTTTCAATTTTTACATTAATTTCATACATTTTTAGTCTTACAACCTCGTTCAATTAACAATTGTTTTGTTACAAACTATTGTATATCTCTGTATTTACATTGCTGTTTTAATTGTTTTTAGTGTATTTATTTATTTACTTTCAGTTAAAGAAAATCATATCAAGTTTAAGCAATAATAGTCTCCAACAAACATTTTGTTATAAATATTATTAAACACAATTTATGCAAACACATAATATACATGTACATGATTGCAAACATTATACAAAATATTATATATATTAATTAACAATTAATTAGTAAAACTTTGAAGATATAGTGTAAATGTGAAACAATTTCAGAGCATAGTTAATTTACGTTTTAAGAACTTTATCTTTCAATATGTTTAATATATGAACACAAATAAATATACAAAAGATAGATAACAAAGGATAATTGATATGCTATTTATATTCATACTTATATAAAATATAGTAATTTTCAATATATTATAAAGAGGACTAGGAAACTTATAAAGATAAAACATTTGTATATATAAGTAATAATAAATTTAAGAATTAATTTATTATAATGAAATAAACTTTTTCCGTTCTATCATAATTTGCTTCAAGAGAATAGTTCATGCTATATATTAATTTAATAGATTATTTTGGCTTATTCTTGCATTGCTAACACTAACAACTTAAAAATTATAAAACTTGGTATCTAAAAATAAAAACAATTTTTTTTCTTTTTTGAAATAATACATACTGTTTAAATTTCTTATAAATTAAAACTTAAATTTAATTAAGCAAAAATAAGCACTTTCGTTTTTGAATATGAAAATGAAACAACACACAAATATACACAAAACTGGAGTATCTACGCAAAATTAAAATATAGTTTTATTATAGTTTTTTAATATTATATTCATTATTACAATAAAGTAGCGTGAAATAAACATTATATATATCATGAAGTTCATTACCACCACTTATAATCAGTGTATTCATGTAGGAAAAAATGTTTTTAGTGCAAATAATAGATTTTAATTACTTTAGACAACCGTTTTTAATTAAAATAATAATTAATGAATTAATATAAAATATATATAATTTTAATTTTTTTCAATGTAAATAACAACTGAAAACTAACTTAAAATAAAAAAAGTATTTCTTTTGAACTATTTACTTCGTGGAACATTTAAGTATAAATTGATATAAGTTTAGATATTTCAATTTAAAAGATACACGGAAAACTATAATTAATATAATTATTTTAGCAGCTTTAGTTTAAATAAAGTATCTTAATTTTGTTGTTACTTTATAAATATATTTATGCAGTTTCTCTCTCTAATTCTCGACGTTGAATTTAGAGCTTACTATTTAGCATTAGAGTTAGATGTTAGCTGAGTTTTTGCTATTCGCCGCCAGCGGTAGGGAGTGTTGTTGTAAGATTTGTTGTTGCTGTTGCTGCTGCTGCAGTTGTTTCTGCTGTTGCTGCTGTTGTTGTTGTTGCTTTAATTTATCAAATATTTGCAACTTAGATTTAACTGCACCCTCACATACCGTCAGGCGTTGTTGGGTTGGTTTTTTGTCCAACTCAAAGCAAAATGCTTCATAGTCAGAATTGATGGCTGCATGTCTTTTAAAATCAGAATATCTGCGTTCATATGATAAATAATTACTGCCCAAAGCTGATGCGGCTACTGCAGCTGCCATTGAAGATGAGGACGAAGTTGAACCACTCGCAGATGCAGCATTTGTGTTGCAACTTCCGCCACGCTGATAACTGGGTAAACTTTCAGTTCCCTGTCGTTTACGTTCAAAATATTCGACGATTTTCGCTATTTGCGCTGACCGTGTACTTGGTATTGACGTAAACGAACGATCATCCCATAATAAGGAATCGGAGCCAGCTAAGCTACTGATATCATCAGAACTATCAGTGTATATGGACGAGGTTCGATTTTTGCAATAAAGCAATTGATTTGTGGCAAACGGATGCCGTTGCATAATTGAATGGAGCTCAGAATCAAGAGCTAATCGATTAATTAATCCCATATCGAAAGTACCTGGTGTACCACCATTACTCGTACTGTTTGCATCGCCATTGCAGCTAAACAGCTGATGATGGCAGTGATAGCGTCTATGAGGTCTTGTAGTGTCCGGTAGTTCCAAATCATCAAAAGAGCGAAGTGCTGCTGCATTACCAGTAGATGTCATAGCTGATGTGTTGCCAACAGCATCGTCAATAAGTAATACAGACGAAGATGTAGAAGAAGAATCGTTGTGCAAATTTTGCGTTCCTTGACATGAGGGGGTGGAGGAAGCATAATAACAGCAGCGGCATAAACTGGCTAATTTATCACTACAAAAACCAAAAAAAAAAAATATATATATAACACTTTAGTGCGATTGAAATAAAGAGATTTAATAAAAGCTTCTTACTTAATTTCACTTTGGTTGCTTTCATCCAACATAAGTTGTGACTTTAACTGTTCAAAACAACAATTATTGCTACAGGCGTAACCGAGAGAGGAACATACTCCATTTAATTGACGATATGTACTGTTGAAAGCTATGTCGGACTCCTCATTGAAGCATGAGTAGAAACCGCTTTCAATCGAATCTCGTCTTGTTAGAGTGCTTTTTGTTGGTAAAATGTCGGAACTTTTAACTTCGTGCAAATCGTAATCAGTGCAAGATGATACTGAGGCAGGTGTGGCTACAAGAGGTGCTGAAGGTGGTGGCGGCGGTGTCGGTGGACATGGTGTGGATGTTGTTACACTCTTTTCTTTGGATTTTTTTGCATGTTCGTTTAATTTAGCATCTACACTCAGTGCGGTTGGCAAGGAACTCGGCGAGGCAATACTTGTTGAACTGTCTTCACTTTTAGCACCGTTCGTACCACGAAAAAGTGGATGAGTAAAAAGAGAATTAGCTCGATATTTGCGGGTTGTAGGCGTTGTTACATGAGTTGGGCGCTCTGCAGAGTCATCGCTCGATTCGGCATCAGCACAGTTGCCACCATTATCACCATCTTGTTCAGCATCAGAAGTGCAGTCATCACAATCATCATCATCTTCAGCTGACAAATTTGTTGTTGGTAAAGCTACATTTGTGGATAGTTTTAACTCAAAAGCACTAAACTTTCGCGTTAATTGGGGTGATGTGGGTAAACTCTTTGGTTCGTTAGATGTATTAGATGTTAAGTTCTTATTATTACTAGTACTGGTATCCGTTAACACTCCACTCTTTTGCAGTGCAGCCAATTCTTTAAAGAATGGTGCAGTCATCTCAAAACATGAACTGAATAGATCACCCACACCAGCAGCGTAAGTTTTTGGATTAGCACCCAATATTTTTTTCACACCACGCAACTGTGCCAGCGCTGTAAATGGATTCGTCTTAATGCCGTTCTGATCTGTACGTATGGGCTTGTATTGCGGGTCCTTTAAGCACATTGTTTCAGCTACTTTGCGCAGCGTTAGCACCATAGAAGCAGGAGGATCAGAAGAAGTCGTTGTTTGACCGACACTGTAATCACCAGCAGGTGGTGGAGTAGGTGACTGGGTTGTCGAACGTTGGCGCTGCATTTGATGACAGCGCGCTTTATCACTGGGAGTTGTATGCAAAGGAAAATGTATAATATTCTCGCTCAGCGAGCGTCGATGTTTTTGCAGAAATAGCTCAGCTTCTAATTTTTTTGTGACACGCCTTACACGCGTTTTAACAATGCGATCTTCAAATTCGTTGTAGCCAGTGGAACTATTTGGTGATGTGCATATAAATGAATCAGATGCCGTATTGTTAACAGAACCGTTAGGAAAAAGAAATCCGTTTTCGTCAACTTGTCGCAAATGTCGTGGAGTCAGTACACCAGCTGGAGCTGTGGTTATTGCTGAAGCTGTTTTTTTTGTAGTACTGCCATTTTGCCGTCCGACCATATATTGATCACCACGACCATTACGATCATTATAGGGCGTTGAAAGAATAACTTGATTTTCTGAATCACTGCCACTTGTTGAACAATTCAGTTCCAGTGAACTTAACGGACTCGTGCTAGCACTTAAAGCATCATGCTCAATTTTTTCAATGAGTAGAATTAATTTCTTTGTGGCATCATGGAAAGTTGGTCGATTTTTTGGATCATACTATCAAGATAAATGAGTTGTAAGTTAGATAATTTGTTTTTAAAATAGTTTCAAGTCATTAGTACTTACTATACAACAATAAAACGCCAGTCTTAAGAGTACAGGAGGTGTATCCATTGGACATAATTCGACGAATGCTAGATAATCCAAACCGAATGAATCTGTACGGGGCATTATATCGGGATCCGCTTCAATACGCGCTATTATTTCACATTGTATAATGCCAAAAGAAAACACATCACTTGTTTGATCATAGTACTGACCCTTTAAGCACTCGGGGCTTACCCAGTATGGTGACCCGACGGTATCGATGCGTGTTTTACCACTAAAATTCAAGGTTTTATTTTGTAATTTAAGTTATTTTTATTTAATTTACACTTACTGTTTATCTGGTATTTTAGCAGCCAAGCCGAAATCACCTACTACAGCTTCAAATTGACCTTCTGGTAAGTTACGTATAAGCACATTCTAAAAACATTGAAATAAATCAGTTGAGAATACTGAAAGGAAGTGTAGGGATAAAATAATATACTTACTTTACTAGTTAAGTCTCTGTGAAAAATTCCTGCATCATGTACATAGGACATACCCCTTGCGATGCCTAATGCTAACCTTAATTTCATCACAGGAGTCAGTGTGATATCTTTATTAGCCAGTAACTGTTCCAATGAGCCACCATTTATGTATTCGGTGAGAGCATGTAGTTGACCTTCATGTACACAAACACCCAAAAAACTGAAATATAAAAATTAAATAAGCAAATTATTATTATTACAATAAAAACAGGATATAAATATAGTTTAATTATAGAAAGTGAAGTTTTTCTACTTCTCAATTTTACACATAAAGGCAGTGATACCTTCGACACATTTTCGGTGAAAAAGATTTGAACTATTAAGCACAATTTAGTGACAACACACTGGCTTTGAAAGGGAGTAATATTTTACTTTTCTTTAAAAAAATTTTAAATGAATTTAGTAAACATATGTTTAAAATTTATATTTACTTATATATTCATATTCACAAAATATTGGTGGTCTCGCGCATTTACAAACGATTAGTAATAGTAATTGAAAAATTTAACAATTAAAAATAGAAAATTTCATGATTAATTATGATTTCGGTCTAATATAAACACAGCAAGTGAATTTGCTAATAAAACTAATAAAACAAATGAACAAAACTCCAAAAAAAACTTCGACTTTAAATCAGTTGGTTAAGTAGCGCTAACTCTGAGCTTCAAATTTGGCAGGGCACGAGTTGGATTGGTTGTACTTGCAATCTCAAAAGACTATTTACGAATAATTAGATACTAGAATTATTTCCAAGACAAGTGGTAATTGGTATTTGGAAATACTCGAAACCACTGTATGGTCAGTCAAAAATTCAATTCATTAAAATATAAAAAGAGAATTTTTGTTGTTGTAGTTCACTACTTTTCGCAAAAAATCCTCTTTATTTATTTATAAATAAAATATTAATATATATAAATTTATATATAAGTTCTTTTCTGAAGTTTTACTCTTTATATTAATTTAATTCAATACACTGCTAATATATCTTAAGAATGTGAAGGTAAAAGTTTACACAAATTTAACTAAATAACGTAAAATACAAATAATACACAAAATTGTATGAATTCTTCAGAATTTGGTATATTAAAAATACAATAAATATATATGAACCCTGATTTAGGCAATAAAAACAGGTAATAAAGTATGGTGATAATACATAGTTCGTAGAGTATGAATAACAGCAAGAAACACGGGAACGGAATTCCACAAAAATTCGCAAATAAAGTCTTATCAAAGCGGCACGAGTAGATTGCGCTGATAAGAATTTAATTTTATACCGAGCACTTAAATAAATGACTACGGCAGTTATTATAATACTTTAAAAATAAATAAGTGAAGTCACATAAAGAAAAAAATCACCTGTACGCATGACTTCAGCGCAAAGAGATAAAAGTCAATTGATGCTTTCCGAGATGAGGGTTTCACCGATTTTTCACACTGCAGGCAACATGAAATTGGCGTGAATCTGCAGCATCAAAATCAACAGAGAGCGAAAGGGAATCCAATTAAAAATCAACTTATGAAGAATGAAAGTTAAAATTTTATTTAAACAAAAAAACAAATGGAAAAATAAATATTTTTTATTTTATTAAGGAAACAGTGCACATATTAAGAAGATCCATAAATAAAAACTGAAATTAAATTAATTAATTAATTTTTAATGTTAATTTTTTAAATGAACTCCATGAGAATTTTAAGAACTCAAGGTGCAGCGAAGACATTGAATTTTGTAATGAAAGCGAAGTGTTTGCATACAAATCAACTATTCTTACTGCCTATTAGCCTCTTAATTGTGATAAATTATTACAATTGTTTTTATAAAATATTATTAAATAACTTGTAAACTAAATAGCATTGCCCAACCCCGTTTCATTTAACTTATTTTTATATTTCACCGGCGTCCTATTCAGATGTGTTTATTGCGAATATCTCGCACTTGAGCATAACCTCAAATAACATTCAGAGAACTGCAGGGACGAACGTAGAACTCATACGTAACTCAACTGCTAACCGCAAATAAACAAAAAAAAAAAAAAAATAAGCAAATTAATTTATTTAAAATTAATTTCGTGAGAATTTACGTGATCCGCCGCTTTAGTAACCAAAAAATTGAAATATATTGAAAAAATTTATATGCATTTAATACATTATAAACAAAACACAAAGAGTACTATAAACATTTTTGGTTACAAATTACCGAGGCAGTTTCAAAATTTATGGTGTGGACCGTTTCGATGGCATTTTGTCAAAATGCGAATTTCGTTGGTTCGTTGGATTTTTTTTTCATATTTTTTTTAATACTTTTGATAAATATATTTTGATTTAATGTCGTTCATCAACAGTGGACAATTTTTAATGCCTGGCACGCAACACATAAATTTGCAAGACTTGCCAACAGAAGTGATTAGATGGGGTTGTTTATTCAAACAGCCATCCCTATAAAAAGCATCTAAATCGCTACTTTTAACTATGATGAAGTCTTATTGATATACCACATATTATGGAGATTGAATTTTTAGGACTTGAAAAGCATCAACATAGAATGTTTATATTATTCGAAATATTGAGCGTTTGTCATATATGAGCTTATGAGTTTACTTATGGATTTTTAATGCTTTTGCTGGAGTCGAAAACCTTTTTTAATAAAAATATGTTTTGAAAACATATTTATTATACCTATAAAATTGTCAGAGTTGGGAATAAAAAAATCATATTTTATGATTTTTAAACTCCATATAAAATGTAGTGCTGGTATTGTATCTTAAGAACAATCTGACATATATAAATGCTAATAATTAGTTTACAGTTGTACCAAATATTCAAAAGCAAAATTGCGCCTCCTATTCTCTATTTATTGGTAAGGTAGGGTTTCGCGCTGGTTCTATGAATCTCTTAAAGCTTGATGATCGATTTTATTGCCTTATAAAGCTCTGATGGTTAAAGTCAATTCAAACCGTTGATGATATAAAGCTCTTTAAAGGAACCTTAAGTGAAATATAAATATAACAAATTTTCAACAAAACAAAGGTTACTCTTCAAAACAATCTTCAACGAAGTATAAGATGGTTTTGGAAAAAATCTTTAACAAAACATAAGATGGTCTTCAAAAGAATTTTCTACGAAATATAAGACACTTTTTAAGAGAAGGTACTTCAGTTGAATAATATCTTTTAGAAAGCAAGTCCCTAGAATAGACGCTGTATAATGATACTATAGGTAGTACTGTGAGGCAGTTTTCGCTTTTTCTACAATCCCATTATAAGATTGATATCTCTCTTATTTAACGGTAAGTTCTCGCAAAACATACAAGAACATAAACATTTCATACAATCATTCTAAAAGTTTAAAGTTTTTTTGTTCATTGATATACAAACTTTTCTATTAATTTTTTCACGAGCTTGTTCTTTAAATTGTTTTTAATATTATCTATAAATTTAATTAATTTTTTGCTTTAAAAAGTAAGATATAAAATAATTACTTCAACTGTTATCAGATATAATCACAATTACTTTTCATTCTTTGCACTCCTTTAGACATTCAACAGACATTCAATAGTCACAAGTATCTAAGAAGTACAAAACTCTTTGCTAACATCCCGAATGATACCTACAACAGTAAAGCAGAGCAGACTAAGTGAAGAACTTCAGCAAATGATAATAATCTACACATCTTAAGCGGTCGAATGTGGAAGAGGAAAACCAACGTGTAAAACAAAAAGTTCATTGTCATTTTTAAGGTATAAATTATAAAAGTGGGAAACACACGTTTGCAAAAGGCTAACTCACTTCCTAGTTTGAATGCATTTCAACTTTTAAGTCTCTTATTATTTTTAATAGCTCTTCCTTTATTTCTTCCACTTAAAATTAACCTTTTTGCACCTATTGTGGTATAAATGGTACAACCAGCGCAAATGCAGCAGAGCGAACTCAAATAATGTAGCATATATGTCTGCAAGAGCTGCTTTTAATTCTAGTACAAGTTACACGTGTGCTGAACTTATATATGTACAAGTACTAAAAGTACATATGTATATTCTAACACTAACTGCATACACACAGTTAGTATGCATGTAAGTGAATGTTAAATTGTTTTTCATTGCTTTGTTTTTATTGTTATTTAGTTAGAACTCTATGCGGCACAATGAAGTACTTCCGCATTTCATATATACATGAATATACCACCGCAGCTAACATTTTTATTGTTCCCTGCGCTTCCATAGACACTTTAGTTAAGCAGCTTAGTTCAGTATTATTAGAGGAGGCATTTTCTGTATTGTTGACAAAGGATTATGTTTACACTCAACTAAATTAAGCAGATGAAGCACAGCATATACCTATAGCTGTGAAGAAACAGAAGGATATGATAAGTAAGTAATACAAGTAGACGGAAGTTCATGTGACATGTCCTTAGACATCCTTCCTTCGATTAAGTAGAGGGGACTAAAATCAATGTCATCTTATGAAAACAAAGGAAAATTTAATTTGTTTATTTCAAGAAGAAGCAATCGGAGACATCACTAATAAAATCTTTACAAATAATAATAACAAATACTTAGCAATATCTAAGCTTCTCTAAGAAGTCATGATTATGACATGCCACGAATGCACTGAAGAAACTGAACATAAAATAATATTATTTAAAAATCACATTAACTATTTAATATGTTCGATTAGACCACATTATTTTTTTAATCCATTTTTGTGTCACATTATAATTTGATAATGAGTACATCTACTTTTAATGGAATTATTAAATTTCTATTAAATTAAAAAAACAATATGTAGAGTATCTGTTGTTTTTAGAAGCTTATGCATTAACACCGAACACTGCAGTCAAACTACGTATTATAGCATATTAACCCATATATGTTCGAAATGCACCTACTTAGTTCACCTATCAATGACCCACAAGACGGCTGACTGGCGCAGGCATTTTAATTCGCGTTTAACATGCTATAGTGAGAAGAAAAAAAACACATCCAAAAAAAAAGAATAATCAAAAACTTTATTTGAAATTGCATTAACTTTTGAAAAACAAAAAAAAAACCAATGAAAAAGTAGCATCAAAAGCAGGTCGGGTAAAAATCGGGAAGCTTTCACTTTCTTTTTGCTGTGCTGCGCTGCGCTACATAAAACACAGCATAACATATACGCTGTTTTT